CATCTCCAGCAGAATGGTTTGCTAAGGTCAAATCAATTACCCCTGTGAAAACCCACTGAAGACAATGGAGCTGCACTGGTGTCACAGCGGGTAGAGCTGTAAGACAATGAGGTTGCTCAGGTATTCAGGGCTTAATTTGGCCTGCAGAATCATTATTACTCCCAAAGAAAGACCCTCCCTTGAGTCTGAGGCCAGGATGAGCTTGCAAGGGAGTGAAACAAAACCCTCTGCTTATTGGTAAACTGAGCCCATTTGACATGGAACTGGTAAGTCATGCTGGACACGGAGCTACTCAGTGCCTTTTGTAGAATCACACTCTCAGCCCTGCTGTGCTGAAGGGGCCAGAAACCAGAGTGGGAGGGGAGGCAAACTGCTCAGGAAGAATATAAATCTGCATAAATCAGCAGTTTTTAAAGATTTTGTAAAAGATCGAAATCAGCCTTTCAACTGTAGAGTTTTATGCATGTTTATATCCCCCTGCACCCAAAGTAAAACACTTTGCCCATCCTTAGCCTGTGTACAAGGCTGTAGTCCAAAGAACTCTGAGGCCTGTCTGATCTAGAGAGGGTTGGGAGCTCCATGGCTTCCCCCATTGGCAGCCCCTCTGGTAATCAAATCACATGATAAAGCTTGTGCCACCACTGAATGTCACAGAGGCTATCTTTTGATGTTGCTGGGTATTAAGGTGTTGGGTGGGCAGAGATCCATCACAATTATCGACATTTAAGCCCTGACCACTGGCTTCCCGATTGAATTTTGAGTTTTCAGTGAAGGAAGGCACATTATAAGCCAATAGCTCGTTTCCTTGAGTCCCCTGCTGGTGGCAGCAGAACCACCCACAATCAATTTATTACGTTAATAATATATTATAGTTATTGTGACACTGCCTGTAGTGACTCCGGAGTGTGAGTACCAGCTTCAGGGCAGACTGTTAGGAAGCAGGGCACAAATCTCAAATTGGTTTTGAGGTCTATATATAGATTTTGCCAACTAGTTATCGAGTGTAAACTCCTCAAGTACTATAATTTGACTATAACTATCGCTTTCACATGGAGTCACACACAGTCCCTTTGAGTACTCCAATCTATCTCACCATCCCAGTGAACTTACCTTTGTGGAATATGGTCTCTTACACCAGGAATCACAGCAATATTCAGGTTACTCCCAGTCTCAAAGTACCAGTCACTTATCCCAGGTCAATTGCACCTTAAATCTCACACCAAAGACAATGCTTATAGCCAATCCTATACTAAAATATATAAAGATTTATTAACTGGGAAAAGGAAATGAGTTATTTACAAGGTTAAAGTAGGTAAATATATATACACAAATGAGTTACAAACGTAAGTTTCAAAAGGTAATGGAAGCTTCTATAATCAGCAAGCTCTATATGTCCTGTAGGCCTAACCCAGGCTAAGCAGCTGGGGATCTCTTGCTTATGCCACTTTGCTCCCCCAAGTCCAAGTAGCTTAGAGATACCAAGTTCCTTTTGTTAGGGATTTGTATCCCCCTCCTGCCATGTGCTCTGAGCAGCAAACTCAGCTGATAGGAGGAGTCCACTTGTATGACTCACCTTCATGGAGAGGAAAGCAGAACAACAAAAAATCTTTTGTCCTCTTGTTGATGATATATAGGGAAATTCCAGATGCAAGATGCCACAATACTTGATTTGGTACAGATGGACCTTTCCTTTGGGGAACTGTGTAATACTTTCTGTTGAAGATCAGCCTTTCACACTAACTAATGTCTCTCTCCTGTCTGGTGATTTACAGTCTCAGAGGTTCACGGTGCTCAAATATTACCTCACAATATGGGATAGAAATGTTATAAGTGAGATTAATTTATGGAGCAACTCAGAAGCATGCAATAAAGTCTAAATGTCAATCACATTCTTATCATTCTAATGCCTGTTTTGACAATACTAACACAGAGGTGAGCCAGACGGATTCCAGCTCTGTATTTGTCAGTGTTCAGTTGAGACATCGGGACCTTGGCATGAGCTGGCACATAGGCTGCCAGCCAGCAGCAGAGTTAGCAATGGGCAAAAACCAGAACCTTGTTTTCTAGACTTTTGAATTTGGGAGATACAGATTCATGTCCCTCATCTGAGTTCTGGTCAATTAATTCTTGTGAGATTTCCACCCAATGTGGCAGAAAACCTGAGAGTTCAATGGAACTATGTGCAGAGTAAGGCAAACTTGGTGTAAGGATAGAAGAATCAGGCCCTTAATACGTAATTATATATTGTGTATTTTACTGGCGCACCGAGGAGCCCTAATTATGGACTGGACCCTCACCGTGCTAGGTGCTGTACACACACAGAACAAGCTTACTGGTCTTGGTTTTTTTTAAATCATAGTTACAAATATCCTTCCTAAGGTCCCAGTGGCTGGTTACCAATAGGAAGAATAGCATCTACTGTAATGTTTTGAGAAGAATCAGTAGTCTGCATTTGGACCTAAAAACCACCCGGAGTGACCTATTCTAGTGGGTAGTCATACAGAGTTCTTTGACATTGTTCTACCAACAGACTTCTAATGTTCATGTAGTAAACGTGGGCAATTTTTTCCTGACATTTAATTTACTGTGGCACTTTTCATTTAAGGATCTCAAAGCAGCTGACAAACATCAGTCAAGCTTGGCAATATCCTCGTGGTGTAGGTCGTATCCTACCTATTTTATAGCTAGAAAAACTGAGGCACAGAGAGGTGATTTGCCCAAGATCAGAAAGACTTAGGAGTAGAATCCGTAAACCCTGACTACCATTCCTCAGCTCTGGAGGTCACATTAGACCCTGGGTATACCTACTGCTTGGTCATCTTTTTATGGGAGTGGAGGAAAATGAAGCAGAAGGCTCATTTTCTGAACTGGGCGAAATTGATCCCTATGCAGAGATCCAGCACAAGGCCTATGCACTTGTTAAGGCTTGTACTCCTATTGTGCATAGACCTTGTGCTGGTTTTCCGCACAGGGGTAACTGTGATCCACTGTCTCTTGTAGGACTGGATGTTCAGAGATGCCTGCTCAAGACCCAGGCTATAAAGCCTTATGCCAACATGTAACCAGCTTTTTGTTCTTAAATTTGACATTTTGTTTCCACCTCCAAGCCCAGGGGAAAATAGTGAAATGCCAATCATTGATTTTATTTTAAAATACAACACAAGCCAAATTACATCTGTGATTTAAAAAACAATCAAACCAAAAAAAATAAATCTCAAGTTTCCAAATTAGAAAAACATTTAATGGCTAAAACCTGGAAGCGTCTCCTCTCCTCGGCCTCCTAAAATCTGCCGGTTAAAAAAAGGCTAAATTTGTTCTAGCTTTCCATTTATGTCTACAGTTCACTGTTGGGCTTGCTTATTTTTTTTTATCCTTTTTAAAAGCTTTAAATCCCCACTGCATAACCTCCTCCGCGGCTGAAAAGATGGTGTGCTGATCTTTTGATTGGTGGGTAATGGATTTGGTTTGATTGCTTGACACAAGAACAATAGAAAGATAAACAATTCCATTTGTGGCCGTGAAGTTCCCCATCTGTTGAGTGTGTCCCTGTTCGGAGAGAGACAGATGAACACGCCAGCCAAGCCTGATGTTAATGACATCAGTCATACAAGCAGAACATGTGGCACAATAAATCAAAAACTAATTGAACTTTTGGTTGATTATATTGCCGTCCCACTGATCATTTTAAACACTCCAGCATTTTCTGTAACAATGGATTGCCTAATAGCCTTCCTTCCCTGAAACAGCAGGAAACTGCCCTGGAAGGTAACAAGTGATGCCAGCTTGTTCTTCGTCCTCTTATGAAACTCTAAAGCTGAAACGGTTCTTGGTCCAGGATTATAATTGGTTAAATATTGAGGGGGGGGGGAAGTTTAAAGAAAAAAGATTGTATTAAAATGACAGTGACAGCTGGTATTTCTCTAGCACCTGTCATCTGGGGATGTCAATAATGGATGTTAGACTAGGTGGGTGAGGTAATATATTTTATTGGACCAATTCTGTTGGTGAAAGAGAGAAGTTTTCAAGCTTACGAAGAACTCCGCATACAATAATGGATGTTAACAATTCTGGCAGAGGACTAGCTTAACTTCTGTGTCAATTATATTTGCATGCTGGTAGTGAATGTGCCTCCCACTGGACTGATATAATAGTAGCACAGTAATTAGGGGTAGCTATTACACTAGTTATGTGAGTGCGCTAGCAAATCTAGCCAAGACATTTCTAATACACCCATCACGTGATATCTAGGGCCAAAATTTTCAAATATAGGTACCTAAATCTCTATTTACACACCCAAAAATTTTTCAGAGCATTGAAGAGCCACAACTTCTTTTGATTTCAATGCGGGCTTAGCACCTTTGGCAATTAGCCATTTATTAAGGTGCCTGAATATGGATTTAGATTTCCAACTTTTGGCACCCATGTTTGAAAATTTTGGTCAAGATACCAAGGATCTAGGCACTATCGTCTGTACATATGCAGTTATAGAAACTTTGAAATACAATATACTTTTCTTACTACATGTGTCACCTACTGGATTCCCATTATATGGAGAGACTTAAAAATGTAAAAGAATATATAACATGAAACCTAAGAAAAATCATAAAAAGAATGCCTACCAGTAGCTTTGCAAAGAGCAGATATCCAATTTGATAATTCACCAGCTGTACAAAACAGACCCAACTTGCTTACATTACTAACCACTTTTATTCCTGAGGCTTTGGCACCCTGTGTAGGAGGAAGGACACACACAACAAATGTGGCAAAGGCTTAAGTAACAGCTAAATTAAATCTTTGCATTAATAGAATTCATATAAAGACAGATGGTAGTAGAAAATGTTGCAATTAAGAATATGGAATGAGATGAGATCACAGCATCAGTCTGTCTTTTGTAGACCTGGACAATGATCACAGAGCCAGATTGGATTAGTGAAACCTATTTACCAGAAGTTCAGAGCAGTTGCATGAAGCCGATAGGCAGTTGGAAGAGAGAGGTGAAAAATGCATCAGATTTACAGCTGTAGCGATGAAAATTTAGAAGTTTTCACCACTGTGATTTCATCCAAATGTGAGTACATGTTAAAGCAGAATAACAGACAGTGCTGTCTTTTATCTAGAATGTTTTACCGGTAGAGAAATCCTTTAAAGTGATAAACTCATCTCTTTGTTCTACTGTATTGTACTTGCACTTCTGTGTTCTCTAGTTGCTCTGAAGCTAATGCATGCAGATGCCTGGACAATGTAGATATGTGAAATATTTCCACAGGAAAAAATGTGAGATGAATGTTCTTGATGCCATTTGATTTTGTTTATATTCTGAATAGGTGATCAATAAGGCATAGCTCACAACAGTAGGGCTGATTTATGACATAGAAAATAACAATGTAATTCCATGAAGAGTTATTCGCTCACCGGAACTGGCTATATATTGAGCAAGTGTCTGCTGGATCAATAAAGGGAACATTTCCAAAATCATGTCCTAGGAATGAATGTGTATTAACATGAATTACATCTGATGATTTGAAGAATAAATACCAGACAAAACACAGTATGTATTTGATTGAAGAACATAGTTTAAACTCAATAACTGCTTATACCAAAAGAAGCCAGATAAATGCATGAACAACTATTTGTGGGGGACAGATCTAATCTGCATTTGCAAGCTGTAAACGTGGGCACTCTGCTGCTTATTTTCACAACATGAATAGACACACTGATGTGGCCAGCATTGTAACTGTTTTCATCTGTTAAATTCTGTGGCTCATTCATATAAACATCCTTTTAGCAGGCAAATTAGAGAAGCATGTTTCTGCTAGAATTTATATCCCCCATCAAGAAAAAAAATGTTCACAATGGTCTCTCCGCTGTTTTCCCTGCTGTCATTGTATTCCTGTGCAAGTAGGTCACTAATGTCTAGCTTCATGATTCACTCATACTTCAATGGCTATTCAAGTAACTGTATGTTTGCCAGTACGGTGACTTCCCTTTCATGCAGTTCCTTTCCTCAGCTCATGTAGGCTGATTGCTGCTTACATTGGCAGAACACATGCAATGATTTGGCCAGTGGCTCACAAATAAGCTGAAAATATGCATACACGTTTATCAGGCACTTACCATGGTGTATCTGGGCATCAGCAACATAATTAAAATAACAAAATATTTCCCCAAATTAGAGAAAATATGGAAACTCAAAACTACCCTGCCCTGTCCAGTAAGACATTAAATAGGTTAATTGCCCTGAGAGACATGGGTAATTTTTCTATCAGTTAAACTTGTCTGCCCCCATCTTTAATTAAATGTTTTGTTTGTAAGGCAACAGTGAATTTAGTCATCACTTACCCAGTGAAATCTAGACTTGTGGGGGTGGGGTTTGTTTGTTCGTTTCATTGGACACCTCTGGGCAGCTTCAAAAACGAGTCATAGCTTATTTATATCATTTATGGAAAATCCCCTTCACTCTGTTCAATTGATTTTGTCTCCCTCTTGCACTGTTTTCAAATATAAACCTAACAAGGCAAAAGGTTGTAGGGATGCTTGCCAATTCCCTCCCACTTCATGAACTTGGCAAAACTGGAGCCATAACCCCTTAATGGCATGTGTATTATTTTAACTGATGCTTATACAGCCCCCCTCCCGCAGCTGAACACTGCGTCACATTTTATACATACCTGTAACTATTTCTTACCTGGGGGCACATCCTCAGTGTAGTGAGTCAAGCGAGCAAGCACCATGTGTTATAGGGAGGCAGTATTGTCTAAAGATTAGAGCATGGACCTGGAAATCAGTGGAGTTTGGACCTATTCCTGCCTTTGCTACTGTCTTGTTGTATAACCATGGAAACGTAATACAGGCCAAAATTTTTGAACCTGGGTTGCTAAAGTTAGACACCTAAATCCATATTAAGACATCTAAATAGTGGCCTGATTTTCTGTGGCAGCTACAGGTGCTTGGCAGCTACAGGTGCTCTGCACCTCTAAAATTAGGCCACTTATTTAAGTGCCTAAATATGGGTCTAGGTGCCCAACATTAGGCACTCAAGTTTGAAAGCTTTGATCTTAACTTCACTATGCCTCAGTTTCCCTCTCTGTAAACTCTGCATGGTCAGACACATTCATCTCTGCAAAGCCCTTTCAAGACTATTGGATGAAAAATTCTGTGCAAGAGCAAAATATTATTAATGGGAGATGAGTGTCCAATCTTAACGATACCTCATAGTAGTATAGAGAAAGCCAGAATCGTAGCATTAAATGATTCATTAGTCAAATTATAATACCTAGCGTTAGCACACCTTCAAAGCGCCTTACAAACATTAATTTGTGTTGGTAACCCCTGAATTTGAATGAGCCCAAGAACTCAAAGCAAAACTCAACTGGAGATTAAGAGTTACACCTGATTTTGCAACAAACCATCCAAAACTGCAGGCTTCATTTGGTTTTGACCGGAGTTTAAGCCTGAACAGAATCCCTGGACCCCAAACCTCCTCAAACTACAGCAAAGCAGTTTTAGATTAAAGTTTAGGAAAAACTTCGTAACCGTAAGAACAGTAGGACCATGGAACAGACTGCCTAGGGAGGTTGTGGAAGATCCTTCATTGGAGGTTTTCAAAAGGAGGCTGGATAGCCATCTGTCTTGGACAGCTTAGACGCAACAAATTCTGCATCTTGACAGGGAGTTAGACTCGCTGAACCTTGCAGGCCCGTATAACCCTATAACACCCCCATTCTCAAAGTTTGGCTCTGGATTAAGATCTGGATTTGAACTCTGCAGCTGCAACCTGCCACCTTTCTCTGTAATGGGCCTGAACCAGAACACCAAATCCTGCATGTCTGAATGCTGGAGAAATGATTGATTATTCCTAATCACTGCACAGCACTCAAATGTGTGCTAGGCACTTTACAGCACAAAGAGTAAGACCGGGGCCAAACCTGCCCCAGAGAATTTACAATCTAGCTTTAAAGATACAGAGAAAGGCAACAAGTAACAAGAAGGGGATGGGGAGAGGAAACACAAGACCATTCAGCTTAAACATACTGGTGTGCTGGAGGGTGTTGGTGGCTACCAGCAAGCATGTCGTTGATCTATAGGCAAGCAAAGCCCTCATTGAAGCAGATGGGTATGCTAGCTGCCTTCCATTCTGGCCAAATGGAAGAAGCAATTGAGCTCCTTTATGCACTAATATGCTGCAAGTATAGAAGCCACTACCCACAGCACTGGCCATATGGAATTCCTGAGCAAAAACTAACTCAGGGCGAATAAGAGGGTTTTCTCTGGGAATGGATGATAAAAACACAAGGGCATTGACGGGATTGCTGGTTTGTGTGTCCGTGGCAGAAGCAAGCAGACAGTGAAAGAAGCATGGGTAGCATGGCTCCAAGAGGAAGCCAAGAAAAAGAGTTTCTTTTGGACAGAGTGCTGGCTGCATAGGCAGGCTTAGAACTGTGAGCAAGGACACTGCCTGCTGTTCTTTGTTTCCACTGTGTTCAGGGTAACAGGACTTGTCTAGGTTTTTTGCAAATAAAAGGGATTGCACCAAAGAAATCTCTCTCTCTCGTACTATCAGTTTTCTCTCTGAACAGAAACAATACAGCTAGGCCCAGAATAGTGGTTAACTGCTCAAGCCAAAGGGGCAATAATGTATATCTCTTCATAGCTTAATAAAAAGTCATTAATATTGTGATGGGATCCCTGGGGTACAACCTGGAACTGAGGTACCGCCTGGGCTGTCTTTCCCAATGTTTTGCTAGTGACAAGCAGCAAACCCCTCCGGAAGCTGTTATCACTTAGCACAACAGCAGGTGGAGCCCCACACCCAGCTAGATTGCATGAAAACACCCAAAGCCTCTCATAAATCACAAGCAGAAAGGCATCAGCCAGTTCCCCGACTTTGCATCCCTGAGCTGTACCATTCTGCCCTGGTCAGAAGCCTGACCATTGTAAGTTTATAACCCCGTCCATCCCTCCTTCAATGTGGAGAGGACACACACAAGCCTTTGTAACTGAGCTGAGAATTCCCTAGCACTTCAAGCAAAATATACTGTTTTAGGTAAATATAAAACAGGTTTATTAACTATAGAAAGATAGATTTTAAGTGATTATAAGTGGTAAGCATAAAAGGACAGAGATGTTACCAAAGAAAATAAAAATAAGCACACAATCTAAATCTTAAACCTTATTACTCTAGGCAGTATTTAGATCAAGCAATGTTCTCATCCCACTGGATGTTACAGTCCTTAGTGCACAGACTTCCCCCTGAAGCCTGGACCAGTCTCCTCTGATGATCTTTGTCTTCTTGGCATCCCAGTTGTGTCCAGCGTAGGTGCGGGAAGAGAAAGGCTAAGACATGATGCTACTGTCCCTTGTTTTATACCCTTGGCCCATGTGCCTCGCAGACACTAGCCCAGGCATGGCCTGGTTGGCTTTGCTGAGTCACAGTGAACAAGCAACCCCCAAGTCACAGTGATCGAGCAGTTCCCATTGTGTGGTGCTTGGATAGTTGAGTCACACAGTTGATTAATGGGTGGTCAACACCCACCTGGGCAGGGCTCCTTTGCATGTCAATAGCAAACTTACAGCATATTTCAGTAACAACCATACAGCACAATCTTATAACTTTATACACACAAATGATAGACATATTTGGACAGAACAGTGGGTTTCAGCAAATCATGACTTTTCATATGATACCTTACATGGCATGATTTGTACAAAATATCACAACCATATATGAATATGAGGTTTACAAGGCATCATTCTGAGGTACAGTGTGTCACAAATATGTTCCATCAGCACAGCTAGATTACCTGGCTCTGAAGTCCACAGTTCAAACCTACCTCTCATCTCCATCTAAAACTATAAACTGGCCCTTGTTTACTTGAGTCTGGGTCTAGGCCCTCTCCAAAAATGTCATTAGCTTGGCCTGTGTTAATTGGGTAATGAAACCAGGTGAAATTTGAAAGGAACTATTCACACAGCTCTAATTAATGAGGACTTCACAATATGGCAGCTACACAGTGATCCTAAAATCTGAGAGGGATGTTTTTTCCAGGCAATGTCCCCTCTTGTTTTTATTTCCCAATTAGAAGAAGGCAAGAGGTTGTGTTTCCTCTGCAGAGGTCACGTGAATTGAAGGTCCTCCTCTTGGTGGCATTTGATGTAAGTAAAAGCATTGTAGATTTTGAAAGCCACATTAGCCCCTGTTTCCTCCTCTAAGAAAATCAGCTTCATTTGGAGACTTTGTTAAAAGCGCCATCTACTACTATAGAGACTTTGTATCCGCTTCCTAAATTTCATGAGTAAAAGGAATGTGCACAAACTATTTTCAAGTGCATATTTCACTTAACATCACTGCTACAGCCTTGCCAACCCCAATTTAAAAAATCATGACATTGGCTTAAAAATAGTTACATGAGCTATTACTAATGCCACCTTTTGGGTTCTTTTTATTTATCTTCTAGTTTTTGAGTCTTTCACGTGCATTGTGGCCACACTTTTTCCAGCTTCTCTCCAGAATTACAAGAGCTAGAAATTTACATTTTTTTAAATGAAAGCCAAGAATCTCATGTAATTACATGGTGCTTCAAGACAATCACAAATATTGTGAGAGTGGTGCTGCCAGCTACATCCAAAAAAACACAATTCCAATGTTGCCAGCTATGCCTGATACTCCATGGTTCTTTCAGTGGAACAAGAAAGATGTCCCAGCACCGAACGCTATTGTAGGCAGAGTGAAGATATAACCCACACACCTCCTGGGTGTGGTGTTCTGTCCCATCTAGTGGCACTGAGACCACTTAGAGAGAGAGAGTAATGAGTCTGCTCTACAGCCTTCACTAAGAGGCATACGGCTTTTAGCTCATGCAGTAGAGGCTCATGCACTACACTCCAAAGGCCCCAGGTTCAATCCCACCCGCCAACATCTGGAGTCCGTTAGTGTTACAAAGACATAGCATCAGAGCTGGGAATGACATTTCAAATAAATTGTGCTTGCATTTTTGATGATCTCATAACAAATTACACCAACCTGAGATTTGCCAGTTTCTATTGCTAATCAACAAAATCCTAAATAATGTATAATATACATCCGTGTCTGAAGCTGTCGTCTCTGGTGTCAGCCACTATTGCACGCTGATCATGTTTCTTTCATTCTCTTTGCAGCATGTAGTCCAGCCAGAAGAAAAGCCAAAAGCACGCAACACATCCTAACAAAGAGAGTAAGAAAAGTATCCATTTTTTTGTATTCAAGTTGGCTTAACTTCTCCTTGAAAGTCTCATGGATGGGAAAGCAGACCTTTCCAGGTTGGGGCATGGGGAGCATAGAACTGAAATGGTGTCTGGAGCTGAGGAAAAATTTTAGAAAGTTTCTGGAAAATTGCAGGTATTTAGAAAAAGGTTTTTTGAACTCTTCAAAAAGTTCAGATTGTTTTTTTCAAGCAAAATTATTCAAAATTAATTTAAAACATTATAACAAAATAAATGACGTAATATCTTGTCAGAAAATGATTGTCTGAAGGAGCTGGGAGGGTAGTTCACCTCAGGAACCAGCCTGTGACTCCCTCTGAGACTCACACTCTGGTACTTCCCCCTTGATCCAGGGAGATGCAATCTGTGCCAGCCCTTTTTGCTAGCACAGCTTGCTTTCCCCTCTGTGCCAGTTCTGGACCATTAGCCTGTGCACTGGGAGCATTGGCTTGTGCACTGGGGGTTGGAGCCAAGGCTGTGTCCACTCCTGATTACCCACTCCTCACCCAGCTGCTAAAGAGAGCAACAGTCTGACAGCAGTTGATTCCCCCTGCCCCCGAAGCGCGGATACACACATGCGTGCACACAAGCTCCAGCAATCTGGATAGCCCATGCTGGAAGTAGTGGGGTTCCTTACACCTTTTGACTCCCTTGTGTGGGTGTGAAGGAGAGCTAACAAGTGAACCCAAAGGAGTCCAAGCAGTTAGTTATTAAACTTTTTAACTTTTTCAAAAGCTTATTGTGAAAAACCCTCACCAGCTTGTGCAGCTGTGTGATCCTGCCCTCATCCTCACTTCTCCTTTCCCTCCTACTGTTTATTACACTCATTTGTTGCAGCTTTCCCTTAAATAGCCTGTAAGTTCTTCACAGCAGGGACAGTGTCTACTTATGTGTCTGTACAGCTCCTGGGGGTCCCAATCCTGAGTGCATCTTCTCCACACTGCTGCAGTGGAAATAACACAAGTGTTAGCCTTTCACAGGGGCTAAGTCTATTTGCCAGGCTTAGATACTCTGGCACAGCTATTTGGGCCTGGCTTTCTTGTCTTAGGGCCCCCTTTTCCCTCCCTTGCCTTTCCAAATTCCATCTAGCCAGCTCATAGTGCCCTCCAAGACCCTTTATTGTGTGTCTCTCTTGCTCTTTCTTTGACAGTTCTGCTTTATCTTTCTCTCATACTATGTAGACCCCTCTTTATCAGCTTTGGGACTTTGTCTGGAAGGTATTTGTGCTTGCCCCAGACCTGTTTCTTCTGCAGAGCTCCCTACATAGAAATCTTTCACCACCATCTTCCATTGTCAAATACATTCTTCTCCAGTTCCCCGGCTGCTCCCTCCCTTCTAGATTATTCTCTCACTATGTGCTCCAGAGTCAGCAGGTTCCACTATCTACTTCAGGAATCCTCCCTACTTTTGCAGTGTAGCACACCTATCAATGGACTGAAAACAACACCACACTACATTTCTTGCAATCCCAATGCCTATTCTTGGTTGCTCAGTCAGCCCATTGCATCCATAGATCTAAATGGGATGGTCTTAAATGGAACATGAACCTCAAAAAGATCTGTCCCAGCAGAAAGTCTACACTCTGAGAATGTTTTTACTCATTCAAACACCTAAACATACATTCCTACAATCCTAAATCATAATTTAAAATGGCCAAAAAATGGAATTTCCACTCCATGGGAAATTCAGAGATTTCAAAATTTGGTTTTGTCCTAAATTAGGACAAAAAAGTTGAAATCTCAGAATTTTTCAGGAAACAAAATACTGTGACATACTTCATTTGGACTTTACCATTTCATTTGGACTTCATTGCTTTGACTAATATACAATATAAAAGTTGAAATGATAAAGTCGAAACAAAATACATCTAAATTAGTTTAAACCTGATCAAAATGAAATGCTTAGGTAATCTCCTGTTGAAATTTTTGACAAAATCAAGACGTTCCTGCAAAACATTTTGATTTTACCAAATCAGCATTTTCTGACAGAAAACTTTTAACCAGCTCTAGTCATAATCCTGTTCTGCTATTTTTATCCTTTAACGTGATCATTATAATCTCAATATACATTTATCACTACTAATCAGGCAGTGGCTTCTGCAACATTTAATTTGAGCTGCATGTGCCTGTCTTGTCACTTTTTTAAAGAAATCTTGTACATATTTATAGTTTCTTTTTCTTCCACTCCTAGAGAATAATCCTCTTGACTGTCCTCTTTTGTCAGTGCTGATGATCCCACGTTTACAATCAGAGTACCACAGCACAAGGATAGTCTGTGCACTGCAAATAAGGACATAAACTGGGCTTTCAAAAATAACTAACCACTAACCTTGTAGTTGTTGATTTCCATGTTTCAGTTTAGTGCAGCTGACTGCAGCTAATGTGTAATCATCCAATAGCATTGTATGTGCTGGAAAATACAAGCCTTTGAGGATATTGTGATGGTCAACTTTTTCTTCCATACAAAGAAAAGGAGTGGTTATATTTTTTTTCATTTGTACATCTGCCTACTGTTAGCATTGTAGCTCTGCCTGGGATGGCATGAGGTCTTCTACCCTGGTAATTGCAGTGGATGCACAAATGTAATCCCAGCCAAGAGCAAAAATAGCAAGCAATCTGGAAACCTGCCAGGTTCTTTCATAGCAGCAGCACTTGAGCATGCCAGTGCTGTATTAAGTGATTTATACATTCATGTGACTGACCTTGTGAGGTAACCTCAGTCACTTTAAAATTAATCCTTTCCAAGAGGGCAATCATGGAAATTAAAAAAAAAAAGACGCATGATTTAAAAATTCAAATGTTCCCTCAATATGCTCATTTTTGTCCTTTCTACATTTTCACTATAGCTCCACCCCTCATCTGTTCTTCCCATTCTCCCTTCTTCATCCCCCAAAATGTTGACTGGAATTATATAAAAATAGTCTTGATTGAAACTGACATTTGATTACATGGCAGAAAAAGTGGCAAATATTGCTGTACATTCTAGCACTTCCACTGCTAAAATTAGTGCCCAATCTGCCCAGTGACAAGAACGTAGCTCATAAAATATGACATTTTTCCATTGACCGCATAATTCTTTAGAGGCTAAGCTACAAAATCGCAAGGTCTCCCCTCACGCTACTGTTCTGCCTCACATAGGCAGCACGGCCATCCCAGAGAAAAGCTAAGGTGTAGGGGCCAGTGGTGCAATGGATAATGTGTCTGACTATGGCTCGGGAGAGTGCATGGCTGACTCCTGCCTGGTTTGTGGTGTGTGCCTTCACTCCTCTTGTGGCAGCCCAGCTTCTAAGGTCCCCTTTGACCTCTTCCAAGCAAAAGCAAGCTCATTGTGCTCTTCAAGGGGCCACTAAAGCAAGGAGCCACGTGCACACCCCTGCAGTCTATGGAGAGGACGCGCCCACCGAGATGAACGGGGAAGAAGACTGTCCACGGTACAAGGCTATGGAGAATTATATCCACAGTGTTTCAAGTTGGGCATCCAAAAACCAGTGTTTTCAAAATCAGTTGTCATTTTTTAAATGTTCACTTTAGCCCTTGAGATAAATATGGAAAGATGCACATACATATTGCAACTGCAAAGAGAATGCAGGTTATTTTCCAACATGTTTATCATTCCTCATGCTCAGACTTCAAAATCAAAATATTCCCCTTTCATTTATGGGGAAACAAGTTGAAGGACTAAATGCAACAGAACCAATGAAAGAGATTCCAATGTAATTACTTGAATGCCTTACATTCATACATAGCTCCAATGAAGGATGCTTGTAATTGGACAGTTTTGTCACTTTCCCGTAGGTGGTGGCAGTGTCTGATTATCGGACCTACTGGACAGAGGACTTGCTTCCAAGCCAAGGTGATCTCACCCAAGTCCTGTACAAAGATGCGGTGAGGAACTTTGGCCGCTTGCAGAATGAACAGGAAGGATTCTGTCCTGCCAAGCACAGTAAGTCCTCAGCTATGATTTCATTACTCTGCCATCTCTGTGCTGATTGCTTAGAACATTGTTTGATGTGGCAGCCTTCTAGTTGCATGAAGTTTTCATTAAAATGGGTATTTATCTCAAAAAAATTCTGTGCCAAAAAATTAAAAATTCTTCAAAATTCTGCATATTTTATTTGTCAAAATAACACAATGTAAACATGTCAGTTTGTATTATTTTGGTAATTTATTTCAAAATACCTAACAGCAGCTATTTCTGTAACAATACAGACAAAAAAGATTCAGAAAATGTTTTTTGACAAATAGATTCCTTACTAGGTATATTAATAGAGAACTCTGAGTAATAATTAATTTAAACTACAATACAGAAATGTATTTCCCGCACTCCTCAAGAGCACTGCAAAGGCTTCAGGGAGTCAGGGATAACCAAGGAGCATGCGTGCTTGCACCCCCACTCACCCACTGCTCCTCCACCCATCCTCACATGTCCCTGCACCTCCTTCCCCCATCCTCATGTGTCCCTGCACCCCCACTCTGATACCTCTCCCACCAACCCCATGTGGCCCTGCTCCCCCATTCAGCCTCACCCACTCAGCCCCCACCCATCTGTCCCCCCAACTAGCCCTTCTGAACCCCATACTGTGACCTCCCAGCAGCCCCATGTGACCCACACTGTCCATCCTCCCATATCCTGTGCCTCCTAACCTGGCCCCATGGCCAGGGCACTGTGAGAAAGGCAGCCTTTTCTCTTCCCTATCCACAGCTGGTGCTGGCCCATGAGCAGCTGCTCTCTGTTCTGGTGCCTCGGTGGCCCCTGGTGGGTGAAAGGCATAACCACAGTACCTTTCTCACAGAATGTATTTTCTGTGGGGGGAAAATTCTGCACGGCACATGAATTCTGCACATGTGCAGTGGCACAGAATTCCTCCAGAAGTACAAAACAGGTCAGCTGTTTCTGAGAACCAGGCAAGGGAAAAAATACATTTTTTTTTTTTTGCCAATGTTAAAAAATTCTTGCAACTTATTTTTTGAACAGCTCCAAGTGCCCTTGTGCTTTGCAGCAGAGTCATGAAACTTGGCAGGGAGGTGGCCTTTGTGTCATGAATGTGCCCTTAGCCGCCTATGACAATCCACCCAAATTTGGCCAAGTTCTAAGGCTTTGAAAAAACACAGTTCACACATGATCAGTAGAGACTTCTTAGATTTCACTGAGCCTGCTCAAGCCTGACAGGGGTGCACATTCACTGTGACTGAGCATGCTCCAGTCCAGAGCTACTGGGGCTCAGAAGGACTTTCCCTGTAATGGGTACTCCAGGCCTAGTGAGGCCAGACACTGGAACTGATAGCAGGGAGCCTTTCTGTCCTGTGCTCTCAGTGAGCCCCCTGCACCCAGGCAGTTGAAGGAGGTGGCATCTGATTTGAATGAAGAAGAGACAAAAGCTGGGCCAGCAAGGAGGGAAAGGAGTAGATTGGGACAAGGAGTCTGGGGAGACTGGGACTAGAGGTGGGGAGAAACTGTGACTGGTATTGTCTGGGCAAGGAGACTAGGAGCTGGAAAGGCGAGGCAGGAACTAGGAGCCAATTACGGGGAAAGGGGAGGCTGGGCTGGTTGGGCAAGGTCACTGGGACTGGGAGCCACTGAGGGAAATGATGGGGAACTGAGAGCCAGTTGACTGGGAGTTGGGAAACATAGATAGGATGAGTAGCTCAAGAGGAGACTGACTGGACAAGGAGACTCGGACTAGGAATCAGTGAAGAGTGAAAGGGGGGAATGAGACAGATCTGACAAGGAGCTGGAGTGTGGGGAAAGAATTGGGAGTGGCTGGGCAAAGAGACTGGGACTAGGAGCCAGGGAGAGGTAGGAGGCTGGGGCAAGGAGGCAGAGACACAGATCAGATGAGGAGTTTTAGTAGTGAGACTAGGATTGAGGGACAGTAGAGGAGGGCGAGGGAGAAATCAAACAAGGAGCCAGGAGAGGGGTACTGGGACTGGTAGGCGGGGAGAGCGGGACTGGGATGAGAAGCCTGAGGAATGGAAACTGGGAGTGGGTAGGGGAGGGGAATGAGACTGGTACAAGGAGTCAGGGATGGGAAAAAAGGCACCACTAGGAGAAGGACAAGTTGGAGGGTACGGAGCAGACTGGGACAAGCTTGTGGGAAATGGGCAGAAGTGTCTGTGTCCACCAGAACGCATTCCCCTCCAGAGCCTGGAATGGAACTCAAGATTCCTGAGTCTCGCCATTCCTCTGCTATCAACAAATATCTGCACTCTCATACCCCTCTAGATCTGGTCCACACAGAGGATGACAAGCTACTACTTCTATCTGTTGCTCCCTGGCTCAAATGGAGGAGATCCAACCCTGCTGATGAACCACATGGGTGTCAATATGCTGCCATATGATGGAATCTCTGTTTTTACTATTTGCTTTTTTTTAAAAAATCTAGGAAAATACACACACAAAAACAATGTTAAAAGAACATTATTAAGGTAGCAAAGTGAAGCTCTCAAAAGTATGGAAATGCCCTGAATTGAGGGAGGTAGGGGAAGATGCTCTTTGCAGCACAAGGCCATGCACAACGAAACATGAAGTAAGGACCTGAAGGTTTGGTCCATTGTTAATAGCTGAAGTTACCATTTCAAAAGCCAAAGAACGGGAGATGGAGTGATTTTGCCCTACCGCACTGCAAGTCTACTTTAGCAATTCCAGGTTCTCCCATTCCTGTATAACAAAAGGTAGTCAGCCCCTTTTGTGATATAGATCTTTGCAATTGGCCATAGTCAAATCTAATAGGACTGTAACTCTAATTACTGACTCTTTCCATATAATCTTTTAATTACATAAAGTCCAAGGGAAAAATAATTACCAATAATAGCATCTTAATTATGCATTGCAGTGGGAATTTCTGAACAAGAGTCATCAAAATCCTGTGATAACCAGTCAGATGGAAAATCTTCTGTAAGTAAAATTCAGTAAGATCAGCTACCTGTATGTGATGTGTTTTAAACTAGCAGATGAAATTCAATGTTGATGAGTGCAAACTAATGCACACTGGAAAAAATAATCCCAACTAGATATATGATGGGTTCTAAAATGCCCGTTACAACCAGAGAAAGTGATCTTGGAGTCACCATGGATAGCTCATCCGAAGAAGTGGGTTGTAGCCCACGAAAGCTTATGCTCTAATAAATTTGTTAGTCTCTAAGGTGCCACAAGTACTCCTGTTATTTTTGCGGATACAGACTAACACGGCTGCTACTCTGAAGTCTGCTCAAAGTGCAGCAGCAGTCAAAAAGGCTAAGACTATGTTAGTAACTATTAGGGATAAAAAATAAGATAGAAAATATGATAATTGCACTGTATTCACAGTGTGGGCATACCATGGATTCATACTGTGTCCAGTTCTGGTCACCCTCTCTCAAAAAGGATATAGTGGAACTAGAAAAGGTGCAGAGGAGGGAAACAAAGAGGACCAAGGGCATGGAACAGCTTCCATATGAGGCGAGACTAAAAAAGATTAGAGCTGTTCATCTTAGAAAAGAGATGACTAAAGGGATATATGGTAGAGGTCTATAAAATCATGAATGGTGTGAAAAAAGTGAATAGAGAATTTACTCTTTCGCCCAATACAAAAATTACATCACCTACCTGCATTTACACTGGTCAAATTGGACTAGATTCGCAAAAGCAATTTCCGACATTTTTAATGATTGCTTCTTGGAACAACCCTAGAAAACACAAGAAGGAAGGTCTAGTCTTCTCAGTTTAATCCTATGTGACACATATAAATTGGTTCAAGAAAAGTGGAACCACTAAGTAATAGTGACCACAGTGAATTAAGTCCAACATCCTCAGTAAAACTAGCCATTCTAGTTGTAGCCTGAAGTAGCGGTAGTAATAATATCTCGCTCTTATTTAGCCCTTTTCATCAGTAGGTCTCCAGGTGCTTCACAAAGGAGGTCAGGATCATTATCCCCACTTTACAGGCACAGTCAGGGCCCAATATGGAGTTGCACCCACTAACAGCAGGTGAGTAGTTGTCCCTCAGTACTGAAGAAATGATTTACCAAAAAGCAATGAAACCTACAGGGTTTTTTAGGCGTCAGTCTCACAACCCTTGTTCACACAAGTAATCCTTGCTCACAAGAACACCTCCATTGAAGTGACTATTCATATTAGTAAGGATTATTTTGTGGTTAAGGGTTTAAAAACCTCTCCCCGTAAGTCCCCAAGTAAACTGCAGTCCCCATTCATAGAGAAATGTGTAGAAGTTTCTTAATGACCTTTTTCTTCCCCAGCAACCTTCGACATCCCCAGTCACCCATATCATAGTGAAACGGGCTGCAGCCACAGAGCCAGCTACACAGGACATTGCTTCTGCAGAAGAGTAAGTCCCCTTTCAATACCTCCACCCACTCCTAGTGCAGTTCTGCCAGGGGCTTCAAGGCTCTGTCTGTAAGGAAAAGCAGCAGGTGGCCCAGATTGTAGGTCATCAATTCACACACACATACAAAAAGTCAGTTGCAAATTACCCATGATTGGAGTAATAAATCTCAATGATCTGTAGTAGATGAGTAATTAATTTCCAAAATATTTGCCTAAGGTGTTATTTTATTGATTATGCACTATTAACCTAGGCATTTTAGATCTTAAGGCTATTTAAAATGTTGGACATATGTCAATTTAATTTCTCTTGCTTAATCAGAAAAAAGGTAATGATGTCTGAGTAATTATTTATAAACATCTAACTAGTGTGACATCATGAGTCCAATTTACTCAAGCCAAGGTCTCCCTTAGAAAGAAAAAGGAATAGCCATGGTCATTATGTGGAGATACTGGGCCAAGTTCTGCTCTTGATTACATCCTTCAGACCCCTTGATTACATGACTTCAGACTGAAGTCATCTGCAGAATTTAGCCCAAAGCACTGAGGCACTATAAGGTGCAGTTTCCTTATATTTTCTAAACAGATAATTATATTAAATAGAAAATGGCTCCTATGGGCCAACTGGACTCGTCATGTAAATTAATCTGTCAATCAAGTTACATCAGAGATGAATGTAGATAAATGCATTGCTATCTGGAGGCAGTAACAACCAGCCCATATTTATTCTCATCATTATTTAGACGTGTCATAGGCGTGCCTTGCACTTTACACTCAAATTATAAACCTGGGGCCTGTTCCTCTGGCGTATCTCCACTGAAATAGATGGAGCTACACCAGTTTACATCAGCAGAGGATCTGGCCTACGGTCCCTGCTGCAGAGATCTTACAATCTAAGGATGTCAGAAACACTACTGGGCCTAGTGCTTACCGGCTTACCACCAGACTTAGGGGCTGTCTACACTGGAGTTGGAGATGTGAATTCCAGCTTGAATAGGCATACCTGTGCTAGCTCTGATCAAGCTAGTGTGCTAAAAATAGAAATGAAGCCGGGGTGGTACTAGTGGTGGGAGGGGTTAGCTGTCCTGAGTATGTACTACAGTCTTGGATAGGATATTACTCAGGGCGGTTAGCCCTTCCCACCATGCACATTGCTATGACTACTCTATTTTTAGCAAGCTAGCTTGATCAGAACTAGTGTGTGGATGTCTACTCAAGCGGGAAATTACACTTCCAGCTCCAGTGTATGCATACCCATAGTTAAGGCTAAGATTTTGTCATGGTTATTTTTAGTAAAAGTCGCGGACAGGTCACGGGCAACAAACAAAAATTCACAGAAGCCGTGACCTGTCTGTGACTTTTGCTGCTGCGGCTCCATGGCTTCCCGTGCCACTGAGTTGTCTGGGAGCTGTGGGTTCCACCTCCGTCCATGGTGACTGGAAGCTGCAGGGTGACCATATTTCCCAAAGAGAAAATGGGACACCCCAGCCGCTCGCCTGAGGCGTTCCCCTTCCCCCGCACAAGGCTGTTGCCCATCGCTGGAACCCCGAGGGCCCCCTCAGGAGTCTGTCACCTGTCATTGGAACCTTGCAGGGGCCCCCTGTTGCCTGTTGCTGGAACCCTGCCAGGGCCCTACTGGCTGCCAGCTCCAGAGTCCTGCAGCCCCTGGAGCTGAAGCAGAGAATGTCATGGAGGTCTCTGGAAGTCACAGATTCCGTGACTTCCGTGACATAAACGTAGCCTTTCCCATAGTCCAGTGTTTCCCAAACTTAGGACGCCGCTTGTGTAGGGAAAGTCCCTCGGCCCGTGCTGCTTCCAGCAGCTCCCATTGGCCTGGAGTGGCGAACCGCGGCCAGTGGGAGCCGCGATCAGCCGGACCTGCGGACGCAGCAGGTAAACAAACCGGCCCGGCCCGCCAGAGGCTTTCCCTACACAAGCGGCATCCCAAGTTTGGGAAACACTGCCATAGTCCATTGGCTTTAATGGGGAGTAGGAAACACTATACCCATTAGTGTTTTCAGGATTGGGCCGTAATGTAGGATGTGATCCTGCAATCCCATGAATATTCAAACTCACATGAATATTCAAACAAGGAAGTGATAGAATTGAAGTAATTGGACTAGATTGGGGGGGGTAAAGGCCCCACCAGGGGTCAGCCTATCAAGAACTTGCTTCTGGGTCAGGTGCAGAGCATGGCCCCTGCTCTCTGGATACTCCCACCTTGCAAATAAAAGGATGAGAAGGAGGCAGAGAGGGGAAGGGAATGGGCAGAGCCTTCTGGGCCTCTCTTCTTGCTGATTTGAACAGAAGGCCAGGCATGAGAGGGAAATAATCTGCACTCTTTCCAGAGCTGCAGTCACTTCTCCTGGAGCAAGAGGGGAGAAAAGGAATCGTGGGGCAGACCAGTCATGTTCTGGCCCTTAGTCGGGGCTGCGTCTAGGCTCAGTCTAGCCCATT